TTTGGTTAGCAAATTTTAGTTCATTTAAATTTGAATCCATAAGTATTTTGTTTTTAAAATGAACGTTAAAACTTCTTGTTAAATTTTTAACTTTATTTTCAATTAAGCTAATAAATGTCCGTTAAACTGTACCTTCTTTGTTTTTATTTAATAAATTAAAATTAAGTTCATTGTACATTGGCTCCAAACAGAAGAAAGATATACTAATGTCTTGAACATCTAAATTTGGGTATGGTAATTTATATGTAACGTATTTTCCACATTCACTTTAAATTGTTCGTCCATTTCCATCTAAAATTAATAATAAATTTAGTATTAATTACATTTTCGCTTTGTGGATATAGTAAACAAAAAATCTTAGCACTAATATTTATATTTATTTACAAAATTTATTTTTAACTGAGATTGAATTAAAATAAAATTGAAATAAAAAAGTTAATGTATTAAAAAAATTAAAAATACACTGACCTTACTATTACATTTAGGTCTAGTACAGTAAGTTAAAATTCACTCGAATATTAAAGCTAACAACACAAAATTGGTTCTGCTGAACATTAAACACAAAACATTTATTACACATGGTCAACAAATTTGCATGCACTGACGAATTCTTAACAAACTTATTTACTTCTATAATCATTTTTATGCATTATATTTTATATAATTAATTATAAATATACGATTGATTTCTGTAATTTTGTATAATAACTATATGGCTGTAATAATATTCAATTAAACAATTAACAAAACAAAATCACTATTTTTGGTTAGCAAATTTTAGTTCATTTAAATTTGAATCCATAAGTATTTTGTTTTTAAAATGAACGTTAAAACTTCTGTTAAATTTTTAACTTATTTTCATTAAGCTAAATAATGTCCGTTAGAACTGTACCTTCTTTGTTTTTATTTAATAAATTAAAATTAAGTTCATTGTACATTGGCTCCAAACAGAAGAAGAATATACTAATGTCTTGAACATCTAACTTTGGGTATGGTATTTATATGTAACATATTTTCCACATTCACTTTAAATTGTCCTCCATTTCCATCTAAAATTAATAATAAATTAGTTTAATTACATTTTCGCTTTGTGGATATATTAAACAAAAAATCTTAGCACTAATATTTATATTTATTTACAAAATTTTATTTTTAACTGAGATTGAATTAAATAAAATTTGGAAATAAAAAAGTTAATTATTGTAAAAAAATTAAAAATACACTGACCTTACTATTACATTTAGGTCTAGTACAGTAAGTTAAAATTCACTCGAATATTAAAGCAACAACACCAAAAATTGGTTCTGCTGAACATAACAAAAAAACATTTATTACACATGGTAAACAAATTTGCATGCAATGACGTATTCTTAACAAACTAATTTACTTTCTATGATCATTTTTATGCATTATATTTTATATAATTAATTATCATACGATTGATATCTGTATTTTTGTATTAATAACTATAGGCTTGTAATAATATTCAATTAAACAATAAACAAAAAAAAAAATCACTATTTTTGGTTAGCAAATTTTAGTTCATTTAAATTTGAATCCATAATCTTTTGTTTTTTAAAATGAACGTTAAACTTCGTGTTAAATTTTTAACTTTATTTTCAATTAAGCTAAAAATGTCCGTTATTACTGTACCTTCTTTGTTTTATTTAATAAATTAATTAAAAGTTCATTGTACATTGGCTCCAAACAGAGAAGAATATACTAATGTCTTGATACATACTAATTTGGGTATGGTAATTTATATGTAACATATTTTCCACATTCACTTTAAATTGTTCGTCCATTTCCATCTAAAATTAATAATAAATTTAGTATTAATTACATTTTCGCTTGGTGGATATATTAAACAAAAAATCTTAGCACAAATATTTATATTTATTTACAAAATTTTATTTTTAACTGAGATTGAATTAAATAAAATTTGGAAATAAAAAAGTTAATTATTGTAAAAAAATTAAAAATACACTGACATTACTATTACATTTAGGTCTAGTACAATAAGTTAAAATTCACTCGAATATTAAAGCTAACAACACAAAATTGGTTCTGCTGAACATTAAACAAAAACATTTATTACACATGGTAAACAAATTTGCATGCAATGACGTATTCTTAACAAACTAATTTACTTTCTATGATCATTTTTATGCATTATATTTTATATAATTAATTATAAATATACGATTGATATCTGTATTTTGTATTAATAACTATAGGGCTTGTAATAATATTCAATTAAACAATTAACAAAAAAAAAAATCACTATTTTTGGTTAGCAAATTTTAGTTCATTTAAATTTGAATCCATAAGTATTTTGTTTTTTAAAATGAACGTTAAACTTCTTGTTAAATTTTAACTTTATTTTCAATTAAGCTAATAAATGGTCCGTTAAACTGTACCTCTTTGTTTTATTTAATAAATTAAAATTAAGTTCATTGTACATTGGCTCCAAACAGAAGAAGAATATACTAATTTCTTGAACATCTAAATTTTGGGTATGGTAATTTATAGTAACGTATTTTCCAACATTCACTACTTTAATTGTTCGTCATTTTCGCATCTAAAATTAATTATAAATTTAGTTATTAATTACATTTTCGCTTTGTGGATTATAGTAACAAAAGAATCTTAGCACTAATATTTATTATATTAATTTACAAAATTTTATTTTGAACTGAAGATTGAATTAGTAAAATTTGGACTACAAAGTTAATTAGTGTACAAAAAATTAAAAATAACCCTGACCTTACTATTAACGTTTAGGTCTAAGTAACAAGTAAGTAAAATTCAACTCGATATTACAGCTAACAACAACAAAATTGGTTCTGCTGAACATTAAACAAAAACTTTATATACACATGGTCAACAAATTTGCATGCAATGACGTATTCTTAACAAACTAATTTACTTTCTATGATCATTTTTATGCATTATATTTTATATAAT